TAAATAAAATTATTATATATAGAAGATAGTACATGGACTCTATGCAAAGCATTATGTCTGCAGCTTCAAAAGTGTATGTACAATACACATAATACTTGTGCAGACACCATCTGCTGTAGATGGGGATTTCTACTGTTGAGAGAAGGTTTGGATTTGTGCTTGCTTACCTGTATGAATAGTTTCGTAAAGTGTATGTAATCCTTATAGAACAAATTTTCTTAGCTGTATTTACAGAAGATGTGGAATGAGATCTGAAACATACAGAGAGTATAATTTTTTAATCAATTGCAGCATGTTAGAAGAGCATGCTTCTTTCTTGTGCACGGTGTCACTCTGACTTTGGAAATCACCAAATGAAACAGAATAGTTTTGCCATCTGGAAATGAGTCTTCCTATCAAAACCTACTTTACATTGATTAAGGTATTCACTGTTATGTTTGAGCACTTGTTACACTTCTGTCCATGAAGGGAAAAAAATCCAGGAATAGTACTTTCACAGGATATTTTAAAGGATTTACTATAGTAAATTAGGCCATTAGTTTAGCTAATCCAGTATCCTGCCCCTAGCAATGGCCAGGGCTTCAGAATACAGCTTCTGATTTGTACCTGCTCAGACAGTGAGTGTTTTTTCTCAGCTTCATGGTGATTTGTCACAGGCCTTTTAGAACATTGTTATACAACAAATGAAACTAGAAGTAGTATATTGTTATCTGATTATATCAACTATGTGTTAATATGCAATTTGTATTATAACTCTGTGCATAAAATCCACTAAAGGCAAGGAAAATGTTTGCTACAGTGTTGATTGAAGATTGCGCCAGGTGACTCCTGTAAGGAGTGTTTTGTGTTAATTGCAGGGTCGTGGAACTACTAGCCTCAAGTAGGATAGAAAGTTAGACAGACCTGAGTGACAAAAAGAAACGTGCCAAATACAGCAGAAAGAGAGAAGCATTCTGCAAAGGCATGGGAGGCAATTCTGTAGATGTCTCCTTTCTTCAGAATAAAAACCAAACTAGCATAATCATTCCATTTATTACAATAAAACTTCTATCACATCTTTCAGTGTGGAAGAATTCAATGCATTTTGCAACTATCTAAAGATGATATGAAATGCTGTTGGTTGTATAAAGTTTTAGTGGTAGAATTTTTAAATGTCTTGCACTATACAAATGGTAAAGAAAAGGATATATTACACAGGTCATTCTACTGGAAATGCTAAAAAAATGTACCAAGTCCAGTAATCTTCAACTTTTTACATGACATGTAATAAAAAACCTGTATGATGAATTACTCCAGTCATATGCTACGCTCATAAACAAAAGTGTGAATTGAGTCCTCACCTGGTTTGAGTTTGGGCTTATTTTGTGCTTGTTAAATAAATTTGTATATATACACACACATACATATATTCAATATGTATATTCATTTTACTTAACTTTAACAACAGTTAAATATAAACTTGTTTGCTTTTTACTGTTCCTTCCATTATTCTCAAACCTCAACCAAAAGCAAGCACACTTCATAAACCAGAATTAGGATGTCTCCAGACAGGTGGTCTCGCTACTTATGAATAACTCTTAAATAATTAAGCAAGATAAAATGAAACAGCCTGGAGCAAGCTCTAGATAAGTTCTTAAGCTGCATCACAACCTAATGAAAAAAATATACCGAAAGCAGTCTTAGCGTAGTAATAGTGGCATGAGTGTCTGGCTGTCATTGAGCTTCAGGAAGGCCTATATCAACCTATGTAATGAATATATATTCCTTGTTGCATTCTAATCAGCACCCTTATTGGCAAAGATTAAGGAATACTCTAGATCTTGAGACACTTTTCCTATTACAAACTCTGTAATATCGTTACATACAGATTACTACTTAGACTATCAGTATGAAACAATTAGTTCTGAAGAAGGCAGTGACAGTAGCCAACAACAGAGTTGCTTCTTTCCTGCTAAAAATGATCCTGAGATTTCAGAAAGGGCAGCTGAAAAAATGCCTCTATTTCCTAAAGAACAAAGGAGGAGGTGGTTTTGCTAGAATCCATGCGTTTTATATTTTCTCCCAAAGAAAACAGAGTTCAGCCCTTCATTATAGGCCATTTAGAGTATCCAAGTACGCGAAACAAAAATCATAGTCACATGCCACAAATATCTGCAGCCACTGTTTCCTTTAAAAAAAGGTAGCATATAATTCTGTCTGATTGATTACAGCCTACAGTATTGCACCAGCAATCTGCCCTTCTTTCTGCTGTAGTTTGTTGCCTACCTCTTACAAAGCAATATGACGCTGAAGAGTGGATGTAACCCAACACAAATAGAAAAGTTTTGCAGGATAACCACAATGTGATGCCAAAGGTGATGCTGCATCAGTCACGACATGGTGGAGAAAGGGTCTTGAGCCTTTCTGCCTGTAAGGCATAACCAAGCTAGAGGACACTTGAGGGCTCTCTCGTGACGAGATGAGGAGTGTGCAGGGTTGCATGCACTTGAGATATCTACTCAGTGAGGGAGCGCAGTCTTTCTTGTGTCACATAAATTGTAGTGCACGCAGCACCACATAATGCTAACTGCTGCTTATATTTCACTAAACCATGGGCAAAGACAGGATGTTCAGAGGAAAGGATTTTTCTTTCTGAGACCTTTTCGAATACACAGTTTCTGTTAGCCTCTGAAAGGTCAACCTGGACTTGCATAGTGTTTCTAGTTTTCTTGTTTCTGGTTCGAACCCCAAAATAACTGCAGTGATTCTGTCTTTTAGAATATAGAGATATAGCCAAAGTCCCTGAAGGATAGCCCACATGCCATTTGCAGCCTGCAAAGCCTTGATAACACATAATGGTGTTTTGTAATGGTAGTGTGGCATTTAACTGAGGTGCTGTGTTCCAAGTGAAGTCCTTTATACAGTCACTAGCATTATTGTGTGTTCATTTAATTGCATTCTAAGAAGTGACAGCTTCTCATGTAAAACTTTCAGGATCATTAAAGTAAAAACATACTGTTGAAGGAACATTACATACAGTCATAGCAATCTGATCGGTCAGCTTCTGATCAGTTCACAAATGTTAAATGCAAAGTATGCATTTAATATATTGGAAATTCTTTTGGATTCCTTTGGTCTTGTCTAAATTGTATTACCAAGTTTCTCCACTGGATGCCTTGAAGCTCTGTATTAGCATCTGTACTGCTATTAAATAGCTAACGCCCACTTCGAAGTTTCCAGTTTAGATCTGAAAAGAAAAAAGAGTTAAGACACCAAAACTGAAATGTACTCAGCTTCTATCCTTCACAGTTATACTCTTTGCATGGAGGAATATCACAGCTCCCCTTACACTGTTTCTTATGAAGGTAAATAGACACTTGAACAGGATGGATTGTGGTTTTTTAAGATGAAGTGGATGTACAGCTGGCTTTGCTGCAGAGCCCTCTAATGGAGAAGAAAAACAAAGGATTTACTCCCACTTTTCACTGATGGAAGTTTGAAGTGGAGCCTTACCCCCATTTTTGCACACATCAGATAAGCTAGACAGGTAGCACTGCAGCCTGCTTGGTGGCCAGTAATTTTCATGTGTCAGGTCCCTTTATGTAGCCCTGTCAGTTCATCTAAATCATTATTTGTATTGCTACCTACTGTGCAAATTACATACTTTTAGACACTTGTATTAGTGTTCTTCAGTCCCAGCCTAAGGTATCCCACAGTTCCTGTCGCAAAGCTCTTAGACAGAAAGGTGCCACGCAGTGTGGTATTCAATTAATGAGATTGCAGTTCTTGACTTGAATAGAGCAGTGTGGAGTCTTAAGAAGGAAAAGATCTTATATTATCCTAGAGCTGTATCTCTTTCTTAAAATACGTGCGTGCATATACATATTCCATGCCACTAATCTGCTTGCCTGTTCTTTCCTGTAGCCCAGATGATTTACTGAATGCACTGAATGAGGGTATCAGCCGTGCTGATGTGATCATTACATCAGGAGGTGTATCTATGGGGGAAAAGGTATGCTAAATTTAAGTATGACTTTCTGTAATATATGTAAGCATTTCAAGCCAGAGTCTGTCGTCAGAGCTTCTACGTTTGTATTAATGTTTATTAAAAAAGGATCTTACTTTTTTTGGAACACTTAAATGTCAGTTAAGTAAGAAAATAGTCTTCAATGCTATCTTCATTCCCATTGTTCTTACACTGTACTATAGTAGACATAGTACAACAGGGAAGATTTTAATTCTTGATGTGAGTGATTTGCAAATGTGTTTTTATTTAAGGAATGATTTATGTAGTTTTGATGAGGAAGGTGCTTGGTTAATAGCAGATGAAGGCAACAGGCTTCTTTTTATTCTTAGAGGAGGTAAAATGTAGATAGAATAAAACTACTTTGAAAGTACTTCAAAAAGCAACCTGAGCATATAAATAGCTCTTTCTTACTCAGCAGATCTGTTTCCTGAATATGCCAAAGCGGTATCTGTTACAAAAATAGTTTTATCACATTTTGCGCCTGATAGTCCTACAGAGGCAATACATACGAGACACAGTGAGCTGATATATTTGCCTTTTGAATCATTAACAGAATTGTTGATTGAGTTCCTGTTGGTAATCCCTGTGCCAAAACCATCAAAGAAAATAGGGATACACAGATGCTGGTGGGGCGTAGATGAACCTGCAGGACATTTATTAATCATGACTTATGCGAAGGAAAACTCAGATTACTTTTTGATCCCAGGCTGAATCTGTGAGTTTGGCAGGTAAAAGAAACATCTCTCCTTTTATAATTAACAGATACTAAAGACAGTCCTTAGGAGATGGCAAACATGAGTGCTGTTTTTGTCACTTTTCTGAGTAGAAATCATATTGTTGGATACATCATGAAAATGGATAACTAGTTAAACCAGTGCCAATGACTTTTAATCCCATTATTATTCTCAGTATTCCTAGACAAATAATCAAAGACAAGTGCCGGTCTTTAAATTTGGAATGTGGTGACATAGTGCAGACACAGGAACACTAGGAAGTCACTGGGCTGCTGAGTGGCCTTGCAGGCATTTATGATTTCTGACTAATTTCTCCCGAGCCTGAATTTAAAGCAACAGCATAAAGTCAATAGGCTCTATACTCTGCTGCTGGTTAGCCCTCTGATACTGAGCTTTCAACAGTTTTAATGAAATAACTGTGAACATCCAAAAAGTAAATAGAAAGTAAAAAGGGGATTAATGCAATCAATAATTGAGAATTCATGCCTGGCTGAAAAAAGTTGCTGCTTTCCAAGTATTTGAACACACACACACACACACACACACACACACACACAAAAAAAAAAAAAAAAAAAAGATGGGAAAACTGCAAGGGAGCTTCAGATTTACTGCTTCCAAAATCTCTCTTCACAGATGACTGTTATGTCCTCTGTCTTTAATCTCACTAAACACAACAGACAGGATACTACATCTTTGAGCACAGCAATTTTCAATAAAAACTAAACATGTAATTCAATTTGGTTTAATAACTGGATCGATTGTGTTTATTTATGCAAAATCTTGAACTAACGCACAAGCTGCCCACAGTTTTTCCTTTCTAAGGACTCTTAAACTCGACCACTGTGAATTAGACCATGTCCCCAAGAAATGATGATGATTACAGTATCCTGAAAAACTATGATTTCTACAGTACAGTATTGATTTTAAAAGTACTAGGAAATCTCTACTGCTAGATAGCTTCCATGGCAAAAGTTAAATAACTTGATGATTTTAAGTCTTAACTTTGAACCATAAAGGCTTTTTTCCGTCTTTGACATAGAGAATGTTTTGTAGTAGGTATTTGTGGGGTTCTCTAAGATTCCGATGCTGCAGCTGACTTTTAAGTAAATATATTACTATGTCCTTGTGGAGTCAGGTTTGGCACTTAAAATGAGTCTATTCCTCACCTCTTTTTTTTGAAAATACTTTCTTTCAAATACTGGAAATTCCCCACTGGACTGTAGCACTTTCAGGGTATGAAAAGTCTTTCATCTTCACTTGATATTAATTAATTGCTTTGAATGCTTAGATGATGTAAGCCACTTTGATGTTACTTAATCGATTTTCTTTTTTTAATTTAAACAGGACTATCTTAAACAGGTGCTGGATATTGATCTTCACGCACAGATTCACTTTGGCAGAGTTTTTATGAAACCAGGGTAAGAAATCTTTCTACTTAGCAGCATAGACAGAGGCTATATTGGGCCAAATGTCCTGTATAAGTGTTTCAGTAGATTTCAGTTTTCCAAATATACTGTAAACCACATGGTCGGTATATATGGGAAAAGAAGCAAAATCAATTCTTATCAGATTAGTCATCATCTTTATGGCCGAAATTACTGGAACAGAGAGATTAATTTTTATCAGTAAGAGAGATTTCTCTGATAACTGTTGCAAATCAAGTTTGGGGTTTGGGGGGAAACCAACATGGTGTAAACACGGCCAGAGTCTTCAGTGTGATCACAGAGCTCAGATATTGACATTTTTATGAAATAACCAGGAAATATAAGGATATTTCACTGCTGGTTTGCTCAACGAGAATCTCATTTCATTTCAAAATTTGCATAAGTCATGTTCCTACAAACAAGCAATTTCTTGAGAGAAGTGAAATGACAGATAATTTACAAAGTTTTCTCTAACTGGCATATTGAGCATAGTGATTTTAAAGTAAACACAATCTTTTATGTGTTTAGTTTGCCTCAGAAAACTTTCAGCATTGCTTTCCTTTGCTGTAGCACTGCTAATTAATGAGTCTGGAAGTCTGCTTTGTAGAGGAAATGAAAACTACGTGTATTGAAAATAGAGAGTTCTCTTTCACAGTATAGTAGCGGAAAGATGTCCACAGCTCTGCCTCACTAAGCGTGGAGTGCAGTTTGTTTCTAAGCTAGGCTGGCACGGTCCAGTAACACAAGGCCAAGTGCAGCTTTGAGGAGTGATTCCCTCTAGCCCATAACTGTTGCCAGGGAGCAGAACAGAAAGTGAATGTTTGCTGTGAAAAAAGACAAATACTTTTACTGTGAAAACAGACAAATACTTTTACTGTTTCTGCATACAATCCAGTAGAGAACTGCATCTGGGTTTGGTGCTTGTGCTGCTACTGCCACCACCTCCCATCCATGAAAGGAACAAATAGCTGAAAGCGTGTTTCTTTCCATGCTGGATGTAGCCCAGGCGTGGAAATTGCTCACTGCTTCTGTCATACTGCTACAACCAATGTGGGCAAGTCCTAAAAGTAGGATCTGCACTCCAGCCTCTGCTGCTGACAAGAATGGATAACCTGATTTAGAGAATTCAGATTATTAAAATCTGATTCTGGCTTATCTGAAAGTGAACGTAATTCTTTCTTCTGGTGATCCCTCTGTAGACTTGTGGCAATAAGCTTTTAATAACTAGCCAGAAAAGCTTTAAGAAATCTTATTTTCCCCAAACATCCATTTTCATTTTCTGCCATGAGAAAGATATTTCCTGCTGCTACGAAAACATTTGGTCATCTAGTCTTACTGAGAATGTAAGCACTCTCGTTTTCATTGGCTGTAGTGCAATAGCAAATACTATGTGTTAGTTTTTATTAATTCTGTCTTAAAAGGTCTTATCACTTAATTAATTCTGTCTTAAAAGGCCAATGAATTGTGATTACTATATTGAGAAAAATTCCCTTGAGTAACTTCTAACAGCGGAGCCAGAATTTGCTTTGCGTGCCTGTATTTTGATGTGCTACGCGACTGCAAAGTGATGCCTGGGATTTACCATTCCTCCAGTTGATCTGAAAGTCACTGAGCTAATATAAGGTTGTATCGTGCCTAGCAGCACTGCCAGAAGAAACTACTAGAAGACTTTACCAATGATGGTGTTGAAATCTCACATGATAATTCAGAGCTTCCAGTAAATATGAATTAGCAATTAGATTTTTTTGTACCTCAATTTGTGTACTGGTTATGAGATTTGGAGGTCTGGCACATAGTTCCCATTGTGTTAGAAACATATTAAAACAGAAACTTCAAACACCAACTTCTCCTGGTAAAATAGGATGTTGATTAGTCGTAGCAGATACAAAACTAGATAGTAATGATCAAAGTGTGGCAAGTCTCCAAGGTTGCTGCTGTTCAGTAACTATCATCTGCTGACCAGGTGATAGTTGTTAGTTCAAGATGAAGCCAAGGAACTCAGCCTAATTATTGCTCCTGTAAAGTATCATTTCTAATGTTTAAAAGGATGATATTAACATAGATATATAGAAAACTTTTTTTAATGGAGGAGTCCCTTTTCTTTGACAGCCACATTCTGGAGCCATCACATTACTGTCCTATTTGTATGATAACAAGTCACTAAAGATCACTCAGGAGCAGTTCTGAAAGGCAGAGAGGGCTCCTTACTGATAGACCTAGGTCTTACCTGACTGCAGCTCTGCCTATGTATCTGAATTTGTTCATCTGCAGACGTGGTAGCAGTTGCTGCTCTGAAATACTGCTCTGTTGTCACTACTGCTGTAGACAATGGAGTAAGAGAAATTAGAGTCACTAGTGTTACAAAAAATTTGGAGAGCCTTACATGAAAAACAAATACAGCTCTGTAACTGCATAATTTCAGTATTACTTCTTTGTTAATTGGCTTCTAGCAAGAAGACAGGATTTAGATTTTTTGATTACTATTTCATCTGCCCTTAGATGTTTCCTCACCAGAAGCAAAATCATCTACTTAAAACTTCATAGCTGAATACTACGGAAAACTAATTGTTCTCTCATCACAAAGAGAGGATTATACCCCCAGTACGGAATAAGCAGCAGGTGCTAATGAACTGGAGAGAGAGAGAGAGACCCTGTTTTGTTTTCTTTTCCAAATTTTTGAATAATAACATAATAATGTTCAGTCAAAGTCTAGAGCAGATATTGAATAGCTTTCCTTTTTCATAGCCTGCCAACAACTTTTGCAACTCTGGATATAGATGGCGTAAGAAAAATCATCTTTGCGCTCCCAGGTAAGATGCTTTGTGAATTACTTTCATTGCTGTGCGTAGATGACAGACATGAAACAGTGTAGTGACGTTTCACAGCACTTACGTCTAGTCTTGGCATCCCTGAGGAAGGTACCTGTAAAGTTTTCCCGGAAATTTCCAGAAGAGACAGGCTAATCTGATAGGGATATACTAAGGAGTTCTTTCTTGTTCCTGTCCTCAGAATTTGCGGGTGTACAGGCCTTATGGTTTCTTCCGTCCAACCACTACCTTGGGTTTTGTAACTGGTACTACGCAGAGGTGTTTTTTCCTACAGCTCCCTTCGCCTTCGCAATAAATATTCTGTGTGTGTAAGTCAGTGTATCCACTCTGAAGTATTGAAAATGGAGATAAAAACGAGGGAGTGCCTAGGAACATGTCACAAAATGGGGGTTTTTTAATCATGATCGTACCGTGGAACCAAAAGAGGGCAGCATCGCTTCACCTCCTGCCTGCTGTGGTCCTTGGGAAACCACGACCTTCAGAATAAACATTTCCTTAGCGATCTGGCTACAAATCTCTATCCTCCTAAATCAGAAGAGATTTATTTTAGTCTTATTGCTCTGGCTTTGCATGGATTTCTGACTACACAAGGAATCCTGTTCTTGATAAGCTGGTGGTTTTCAGATGTATTTCTAGTGCTTTTTCTCTCTCTTATTTTAGTTGCTGCAGTATATTTTCTTCCTGGGAAGGGATCAAAGGAGCATCTGTGTGATCATAGTATTTATTTTAGAACTATCATCTAAAGAAGTCCAGATGTGTAAGACAAGTGGTGTCTGACCAATGTTGGTCATACATCTCTCTTGTGAGCCAACAGAAAAACATATGCTTCAGTAGAATTCTCAGAATTTGTACTAAAGCATTTTGCCACTCTGTTAGGGACTTGAAAGTTGTTTTTCCATAGGTTTTGGAAACCTTAATCATGAATCCAGAGCCCTATTAGCTAGGGTCTATACTTGTGCACAATAAACCTTGCCCCGGCCCTAGACAAATGTAGGCATAAGACAAAAGGCAATGGAGGAGCAGAGGCAAATAGGACAGTTCTGGTCAGGGCAGGATTTCAGCGCACCATCACTAGAGAGCGTAGCTTTCAACAGATGTGCTTGCAACGTGCTGCTCCAGTCTTGAATGAAACATTTCCTGTACATAGCATGAAAAGCTCTTTAGAGTCATTTAGAGTGCAATTGGAATAAAAACACAAGATCACTTTCAGCATTTCAGAGTGTAAATCAAGAAGCAGTCACCTGCAACTGTTCTTTGTCCTACAGGCAACCCTGTGTCAGCTGTTGTCACCTGCAATCTCTTTGTTGTTCCTGCACTGAGGAAAATGCAGGGTATCCTGGATCCTCGGCCCACAATCATCAAAGCCAGGGTAAGAAGCTTGTCCTCTATTTAAAAATCCTCTCAAGATGCTGAAGCACAGCTTAGCTATTTGGGCTCTGAAAGGCTATCTTGTTTGGGGAATCTGAGCCCTAGACTAATTCTGGCAAGTTGAAGGAAGTTCACACAAAACAGAGGTACATTCTCAATCTTTGCTAATGGTAATATTCAGTCCCATAATTTCTAAGAGTTAGATAGTCATCTAATGGAGCAAGATATACAGATGCAGGGGCAGCCGTTTGCCAGTCAGGCAGGAAGGACGCTTTCCTGTTTAAAAAAAGCCATTTGTTTTAACCAGAGATAGAAAACACAGAGTAATCTGGGAATACCTAAAGAGGATATAGTTGGATAGTTCGTATTAGCAATAGAAAATAAAAACTTTAAAGCCTTTCTGTTCTTGAGTTATTTACATAAGTAACCCACGTGACTCCACCTTAAGCAATATAAATCCCTTAAACAATTCATTTCACTCTTATAATAAGTGGTCATTTTATAAGATGGTCGCACTCAAAGAGTTGTGGTCAACGGTTCAATGTCCACATGGAGGCCTGTGACGAGTGGTGTTCCTCAGCGGTCAGTACTGGGACCAGTGCTATTTAACTACTTTGTTGGAGACATGGACAGTGAGATTGAGTGCACCCTCAGCAAGTTTGCAGGTGACACCAAGTTGTGTGGTGTTGTGGACACGCTGGAGGGAAGGAATGCCCTCCAGAGGGACCTTGACAGGCTGGAGAGATGGGCCTGTGTGAACCTCATGAAGTTCAACAAGGCCAAGTGCAAGGTCCTGCACGTGGGTCGGGGCAATCCCAAGCACAAGTACAGGCTGGGCGGAGAATGGATCGAGAGCAGCCCTGAGGAGAAGGACTTGGGAGTGCTGGTGGATGAGAAGCTCAACATGAGCCGGCAATGTGCACTGGCAGCCCAGAAAGCCAACCGTATCCTGGGCTGTATCAAAAGAATTGTGGCCAGCAGGTCGAGGGAAGTGATTCTGCCCCGTGAGACCCCACCTAGAATACTGTGTTCAGATCTGGAGTCCCCAACACAAGAAGGACATGGATCTACTGGAACGAGTCCAGAGGAGAGCCACGAAGATGATTCGAGGGCTGGAGCACCTCTGCTATGACGACAGGCTGAGAGAGTTGGGGCTGTTCAGCCTGGAGAAGAGAAGGCTCCGGGGTGATCTTATAGCAGCTTTCCAGTACCTAAAGGGGGCCTACAGGAAAGCTGGAGAGGGACTTTTTACAAGGGTATGTAGTGACAGGACAAGGGGCAATAGATTTAAACTGAAAGAGGGCAGATTTAGATTAGATATAAGGCAGAAATTTTTTACATTGAGGGTGGTGAGGCAGTGGAACAGGTTGCCCAGACAAGTTGGAGATGCCCCATCCCTGGAAGTGTTCAAAGCCAGGTTAGATGAGGCTTTGGGCAACCTGGTGTAGTGGAGGATTTCTCTGCCCATGGCAGGGGTGTTGGAACTAGATGATCTTTAAGGTCCCTTCCAACCCTAACCATTCTATGATTCTATGATTCTATAAGAAATCATGGATATTATAACTCTGTTTAATATAGATTCAAGACGTTATTAAAATGTATTATTCTTCTATTTTTGGTTCAAATAAAGTACCAAGGAACACATTACCTATTATAGTTTTCCTAGTGTTCTTGGCTATACACTTTTCTCATACTGCTTATCTCATGTGTCTCTTTCACACTTCCTCAGGCATCCAGATTTTTCTTTATCTCACAACGAAAATATTCTAAAACAGAGAGGAATTTGTAGTGACCTTCATTTTTGCATGAATTTTCCAATGTGTTCCATTAAATTCCATCCCTTGTATGTCTTTTCATTTCAAAGTTTGGTCATTTCCCTTTTGTCAGAGCTAGCAGGATTCTGAATGTAAATAAGAATTTTATCTTTATGCAGTGTAATCCAGAGACTGGAAACAATAAAGCTTTTTGCCAGAGAAATACTATTTTTAATCTCCCAGTAAAGGAACAGGTTGGAATATTCCGCTTAACACATGTAGACTCCATCATACATTTTGATATTATAATATCACAGTTGTATTTCCCTCAAATACCGCAGTCTCTACCTTCTGCAGCTTTTTATCTTGCAGTAGACATTATCTGACCTCAAAATACAAGTTTTTAAACAGACTGGTTTTAAGCAAAAACAATTGAGCAGATGATTTCATTATCTTAGGCGGTGCAATCTCAATACATGACATTTTCATCCTTTCTTTGCTTCTTCTACAGTTATCATGTGATGTAAAATTGGACCCCCGCCCAGAATACCATCGGTGCATACTGACTTGGCATCACCAAGAACCACTACCTTGGGCACAGAGTACAGGTTAGTGCCCAGTCACACCAGCTGACAGACACACTCACACAGGTCCTTGCCTTCCTACGTATATGTCTAAAACTAAATGTGTGTACACATGTTTTTTCATCTAACTTTCCTTATGTAGACTGATTTGCTGACATACTTGTGCACGTGCATCCATGTACGTTAGTATAAAATCTAGTCATGCTATGACTTACCAACTTAACGGTTAAAACTTCCTTTATCTGAATAACCTGCCTTTATACACGCACACGCACACACAAAATACACCTGTATGCTTGCATACGTGCACACATTCCTCTTTATAAACATTCCCACTTGGACTCGCAGGCACATTTGCTTACTTTTGCTCTTGTGCGTGTACTAAACAAGCACAAGTTGGGAAATAGGTAGGAACAGTACAAATAAAAGAAGTGTGATTCTAGCTAAACTGTAAAAGTAGAAGAGATAGAAGAGACTGTATATGTTCTCTTAAAGCAGATTAAGACTTTTATTAGTCATGTTTACCACTTAGGGATACTTCTGGATACTCGGCTGCAGCTGAGTTAAATACTATATTTGAATACTTTTCTAGCTGTATACTGCTAGAAGACCGACTCTGCCAGTTTCTCAGTTATTCAGGTCTTTAAACAACTAATTGTCTTTTTGCTTCATCCAAATAGTTCAATACAAAGCACTACATACCAGTCTCCACAGGGAAAACGTTAGCTCAAATGCATCTTACTGTTTAGTCAGAGAAAGTTTTTACAATTGACTGCCAAGATCACACAGCCTCTGACGTATTTCCAGGTATAAGTAAAAGTATTACTGACATCTATAACACTATATTTGGTTTCACTCTGTTTTGTTGTGTGCCACTTCTTTCCTTACGCAAGCAGACTGTCTGGTATGATTTCTCTGTCAGTCTGGAAATTTGAAAACCAAGAAACCAAAGGGCATGACTTTATTGGATTTTCATTTTTTGTCAGTACTGCCAATATGATACTGTTTATTTTCAGGGCATGTTGTGAAGCTCAATGTCTCAAAGAAACCTATTTTTTTAAGGCAGTATATGTTACGGAGTTACGCAGCCGGCCGCCATAACAGGGTCCGGCGCTAGTTTCTCATTGAAAAATGTAAAGTCCGAGTGAAGGTTTCCATTTCCTCTTTTATTAGTTCTCAGGTTACAGCTTGAGCTGGGTGCCCCGCCTCCCCTGGAGAGGGATCCTTACCCCACATTGCGCCTGGCGATTATACCCGTACACAGCACCCAGTCCCAACTCCAATCACTTAATTCTGGTCGCTGGTCTCTTGATTTCCTGTTGGTTTTCTTTGTCACTGGACTGGCCTTCTTCTGAAGTTACCTCATTCTCTTGGAATTGTTTCCTTGGTCCTTATCTTCTTCATCCTGCTCAGATCTTCCAGATTCAGCTAGTTCGGTGTCAGCAGCATTAGTTTTATCAAAAAGTTTACTCTCCGTCAGCATTTGCAGCCTAAGACTTCAACTTCTTTAGCTCCTAGTGGTAAGCTACCAATACTAAACGAGACTATTCAGAGAGAAGAACATGGTTCATCAAACTTATTCTATAACAGTATATTAAAAACATTCTAGACTGTGCTGGTTTTAGTCTTTATACAATTGGAATTAGGTATACGAATTGAAAAATAAAGTAATTTTGTTAGGATAAGGAATTCCAACAGAAAAGCAATTTACTATGGCAAAATATGAGGTACAGATAACGTGGAAGTCTGGACAGGAAAGTGATCAGCAGAGGGAATGAGAGTTTTGAGAGCCAGAACGATAAGATGCCGACTAATTCTCTAGAGTTCTCTGTTTCCATCCACCTTGGAACAGTGAGATCCCAGCTCAATGAATAAGTCGGCAACATGAACATCTTTGTAAGAACAGCTTTTGTTTCTCGCGTGGTGCGTTGCAGTGTTTGAAACTAACTGAAAATTTAACTGAAATTTTTCTCTCACTTTCCTGTAGGGAATCAGATGAGCAGTCGTCTGATGAGTATGCGCAGTGCCAATGGACTGTTGATGCTACCTCCAAAGACAGAGCAGTATGTGGAGCTTCACAAGGGGGAGGTGGTGGATGTCATGGTCATTGGAAGGCTATGATGTCACCAGCAAGAGCGAAGCTTTGATGCATGTCCACATATCATTGACTGTATCCTGTAATATGCAACGGCACAGCTAGTTTTTCTGATTTGGATAAAAGTTGATCAGTATAGTCAACATCTTGAATTATATTTCAAATGGAATTTAAATAAATACCTTTTAAAAAAACCTTTAAAACAAATCTTAACAAAGAAATTTATTCTGATTATATCAAAGCAACTTTTTCCTTTCCTTGCAATTGCTTTGTGTGTTCAATGCTAGTTCTAATAGCGGTAGCTTTTAGTAGACAGCAGTAGGTGCCTGCAGAACTTGTGTTTTTTCTCATCTTTAAGATACAACTACTTATGCTCTTCAAACAAGGCTGTCTGCTTATTTATACTAGCGTAGACAACACTTGGATTTCCCTTATTAGTATGCTTCATAACCGCTTCACAGAGAGCTTCTGCTTGTTCTTTATCTTGTATCTCGTGTTGATGTGCACAGTGCCAAAAGCAGAGTGGCTGCACTGGGAACCCAATGAAGCCCCGAGGTTTTGTCACCTCGCTGCGCATTCAGGGATCTCTCTCCTCCCGGCAGCCACCCAGCTCAGTACTCTTGGGCAGTAACTGGATACCTTTTATTTCAACAAACAAAAAAATCGCTTCCTTAAGTGCTGACAGCCTTTTTAACCAATACATTTAAAAATGTACAGAACTAAAAACTAAAAAAAATCAAAGACTGATCTTGTACAGATATTAGTGTTACCAGCATTCATGTGGAAATTAAATGAGCAGAGAAATAAAACTAATGTTAAACAACTCTGTACCATAACATTTTCTGTAATGATATTGAAACTTAAATGAATAAAAAAAATCCTCAATCATTATTTAAAATTTCACCTGTTTAGCCTTGTTGTTTGAACTAAAAAAATAGCAGTTTAGGAGGGTATTTGGGGTGGGGGAAGAGGACAGGAAGGAAGGGAAAATAATATATGGAATCTAGGACCTTCCCTCATGTACAGTATCACGAGTGAACTGAAAACACAGAGCGAGCGAGCTCTCCTCATCTCCCAAGGGACAAAATGGAAGCAGCATTTGGGAGGTTTTACAATTGGACTAGTCAAAGCTGGAGAATACTTTTTTTCCCATCTACATTGCATAGCAGTTGCAAGCAGCCCGTGTGCTGCACTGTGTGGAATTTGATAGAGCATTCATTTTTTTTTTTCATGAGATTCTCTTTTTGATACTGGGACTATTCAGCCCTTGCCAGATTATGTGTTTTGGTAATTTCACATTTCATCTGGGATTAAGACCATAGCAGAGCCACTACAACACTTTGCTTCTTGGAGTTCATGGGTAAAATGAATCGTAGAATCACAGAATACCCGGTTGGAAGGGACCTCAAGGATCACGTGGTCCAACCTTTCTTGGCAAAAGCACGATCTAGACAAGATGGCCCAGCACCCTGTCCAGCTGAATCTTAAAAGCATCAATGATGGGGAATCCACCACTTCCCTGGGGAGACTATTCCAATGGCTGATCTCGCTGTGAACAATTTTCCTCTTGTGTTCAACTGGAATCTCCCCAGGATTAACTTGTACCCCTTACCCTCCATCTTTTCCATGTAACTCCTTGTAAAATCAGAGTCTCCACCTTCTTTGTAGCCACCCTTTAAATATTGAAACATGGTGATAAGGTCTCCCTTAAACCTTCTATTCTCAAGGCTGAACAAACCCAGTTCTCTCCACCTCTCCTCATGTGGCAGGCTTCCCAGTCCTTTGATCATCTTTATGGCCCTTCTCTGGACACTCTCCAGTCTGTCCGCATCTTTTTTGCATAGCAGGGACCAAAATTAACACAATATTCCAGGTGTGGCCTGACAAGAGCCAAGTAGAGTGGGATAATCATACAACGATTTGAGTTGGAAGGGACTTTAAAGATCATCTAGTTCCAACCCCCTGCCATGGGCAGGGACACCTTCCACTAGATCAGATTAAGGCCCCATCCAACCTGATGTTGAATGTTTCCAGGAAAGGGACATGTACCAGCTCTGGGCAACCTGTTCCAGTGACTCACCACCCTCAGAAGGAAGAATTTCTTCCTTAGATCTAATCTAAATCTCCCCTCTTTCAGTTTAAAGCCATTACCCCTTGTCCTATCAGTACACACCCTTGTAAAAAGTTCCTCTCCAGCTTTCTTGTAGGCCCCCTTTAGGTACTGGAAGGCTGCTATGAGGTCTCCCCAGAGCCTTGTCTTCTCCAGGCTGAACAACCTTAACGCTCTCAGCCTGTCTTCATAGGAGAGGTGCTCCAGCGCTCAGATCATTTTCACAGCCCTCCTCTGGACTTGCTCCAACAGGTCTATGTCTTTCTTATGTTGGAGGCCTCATAGCTGAACACAGTACTGCAGGTGGGGTCTCACGAGAGCAGAGTAGAGGGGCAGAATCACCTCCCTTGACCCACACTGGCCACGCTTCTTTTGATGCATAATGACTTCCTTATCTCTGCTCGTGATGCCCTTATTGATGCAACCCAGCATCCTGTTGGCTTTCTTTGCTGCAGCAGAACACCGTTCACACATATTGAGCTTGTTGTCCATCAGGACCCTCAGGTCGCTTTCCACAGAGCTGCTCCTCAGCTGGGTAGACCCCAGCCTTTGCTGCACTCCTGGATTATGTTTTCCCAAGTGCAAGACCTCAGACTCGTTGAACTTCATAAGGTTCTTGTTAGCCCACTCTTCCAGCCTATCCAGGTCTTAGTGCATGGTGGCTCTTCCCTCCAAAGTGTCCGCTTCCCTGCTCAGTTTAGTATCATCAGCAAACTTCATCATGGTACACTTGATCCCATCACCCAGGTCACTTATGAAGATATTAAACAATGTTGGACCCAATATCGATCCCTGGGGATCCCACTTGTGACAGGTTGCCACTTTGAGAAGGAGCTATTCACCACCACCCTCTGGGTGCAGCCTGTCAGCCAGTTCCTCATCAACTCCATTCATGAAACCAGAACATTGGTAGTATTTTTTGAAGACTTGGTCAGGAAGGACACAGAAAACTGGGTTTAAGTAAGTCCTGACTGCCACAGCGGACCAGAGCTGAAGTTCTATGGTAACCTCAGAGGGCATCCCCGAGGCTGGTTTTCAAACCAAACTCCTTGTTTGCTGTGCAACAGCCTGAACACTCCCCGCACAGACCATTGCAAAGGTTGAAGGCAGGTGGGCGTATGCCGTGTTCAAAGGCACTCCAGGGGCTGATCCTTCGGAAAAACAGTAACACAATTTGCTGATCATATTTCTTTGTTCTGGACTGTATGGCCACATTTGTGATCTCTCTATGCAGCAGCACAATGGTACCAAATTAAATTCATGAATGCCTGTATCTACTATACCAATATTGTAAACCACAAAAGAAGGAAGAGAGAGGAGAGTTAACTCATCTCGGAGAAATAATGTAGAACGCTGCCTTTTATAATCCAAAGGATTATCATATAGTTAGGAGTTATTACAGGCAGTGCATATAATGAAAATTGGAAATTTATAAAGGACACCAGTAACAACAACCTCAGGGAATATTGTTGATACAATTGGAGATGCCAGACAAAGATAAAAGAGAGATGTCAGGAAACCCAGCCAGAAATATCTTGGGTCTGGTTTGCATTAAAACCACTACTCAAAACAAATGTGGCAGAGAAGAATTGGCACAATGCTGTGTGTAATGCGTGGCTCTCTTAAACCATATCTTGGCATCGTAACACTTAACTACCGTTGTAACCAATAAAGTATTTAGAGGTTAATCACGATAATTTTTTCCAAATCACTGATAACATAAACTGCTTTAGCTGCTCTACTGTCTTTTGTAATCCCCTCTGCCCAGTGTTCAAAGTTTCATGCAAGAAAATAAGCTTTGCAACTTCTGAGAGAGAAACTCACAGCCCAGCCTGTGTTAACACTGAAAGCCGTAGCAGTGCGTTGGAGAGGGAACTCTGGGAGCAGTATAATAAATCATTATTTCAACTATGTCTCAATTATCAAGCCTAAAATCTGAAAAAATTGCCATGGTTGTAATATAAATGGATATAAACGTGACACAAATAGATAAAACACAAATCACTTTTTTATTTTAACATTCCCAACTCCTGGTTTCAGGGAAGATTGGAAGCTTCAGAAAAGAAATCTGAAGGACAAGTGGATCTTCAAGTATGTGGTTGCTTTGGTTCAAGGACTGAGACTTGCAAACGGAAACATTTTAAGGAATATTTTCCCTATTTTTACTTCTCTAGATAAGGCTTTAGCACACTCAAAAGAGTAACTTACTTAACAACAAGAAGCAATGCCAGCAATGATTGAAGACAAGGTTGGTATTCCAACATTTGTAGTTTTCTTCTTTTTACAGCATTTTCTTCAGTGCCAGTAATGGGAATGATCATATGCAGTGGGTCTTCTGAGTCCCATTCATCCAGCTGGGATAATGCTACAATGACCTACAACTCATACAGCAACTTTTGTATCCTGGCTAGCTGGTACCAAAACCTTGATTGTACACCTGGATGTGAAACATCATTCAAAAATTGGCTGTATTCAGTCAGGTAACTAGAAGAACGGACTGGCCTCTTCCAAATACTAATTTCAAGACTTTAATTACAGAAATCACAATGTTAATTCTATCTTGATATTAAAACATGCTACACATGAAATGTCTTTCATCTGTAGGTAGTTATTACAGATCTGTATGACTCCAGAGATTATTAATTAACATGCGATCTTTAGCCTTTTTGATTCTTGAGCTGAAGAGTTGCACTTAAAACATATTAGAACATGGATACTGCTTAAGGACAATATGCAACTGGAATCACCCTGCAGGTTCTGTCTGTGTCCTCCCGAGCTTACCGCTCTGCACCAAGTGCTAAAGGTTGTCTTCTTTGACGCATCTCAGCCCAGAAGACGTCGTACTTGCCTCGTGCCTGGTAAAGATGGTCTTCAGGCCAGAGGCAGTCTGCACATACCCTGCACTGACCACAGCAGTGCCCACAAGAGTGACTGGATCCACCTTTTCCTTCTGGTTGCCTTAGTTCCAAGTCTGTTGGTGCTGGGATGGCGCGTGCCAGCCTCGCTGCCTTTGTATGCAGCAGTGCTCAGGGCCTGCCTCAAGTCATGCTCAGGAAAGCTCTTCAGGCTGACGCCCCTGCCAGCACTTGCAGGGCAGGAACTAAGTCTGAGAGCTGAGTCTCTAGTGGGACGTCTTTCTTTGGAAAGCAGATGCCAGGCTAAGACAGCCCAGAGCTTCCTGTGGTTCTCTGTTATGTTCTAATACTCAGCTTCTCAAAAATAGCACCATCACCTGAACCGTTTGTGAGGTTTAGTGTTAGATAAGAAAAATATACATTAAATCAAATCAAAAGAAACATATCACGGCTTTGTTTTTTTAACATGATGACAGCACTGAGGTGTTTCCAAGTACCTATATTTGCAGCTGGCAAAGAGAAGACAAGCAAAGTAAGGGCCAGATAGCAAAAAGCCGTAAGTATTGGTTAATGCTGAAGACACATCTCTCAGGAAGTGCATAAAGATTCATCAGCAATCAAGTTCAATAGTTATTTTAAAGGCAGAATCTCCTTCTTGGATACATTTCTTTGGTATATTTGGATATATAGCTTTGTACTTCCCCTGAGGAACTCAGTGGAAGAGTGTGAGAGCGTCAAACGAGGAGTCAGAGCCCGCTTCAGGCTGTGTTATCAGGCAGCAGATTGGGCCAACATGTTATGATTCTTATAGTCTTTCTCTAACCTGACAGGAAACTAAGAATAAGAAGGAAGAGGCTAGATGTTGAAATGCTCAAGCACAAAATTTGCCCAAAATTTTGTTTTTCGTTAGCTGGAAAATTGAAACTAGTTTTG